CCCGTCAAATTTTTTGATAAGAACGATGGCTGGCACTCCTGGGGGCCCTGGCTTTGGGGCTCCAGATGCGTTAGTTGTTTGAATTTCTACAGTGGAACGAAGGACTCGAGACCTGAGGCGGGGTGTTCGGGTTTCCCCGCGAGGGTTCAGGAGCTCTTGACTCTGTCCCCTCGGCATGGCCATCAGTTGGCCTCAACTCAGGTGGCTAACCAGTCGAAGCCACTCTTCTTTTGCATGCTGTGTGGTTATTTTGCCCAGCATAGGATATTCAAGTTATGGGCGAGGACAGAAGCAGCGCTGGGGCGACGGCTCTCAGGAGACTGCGGAGAGGACTGCATCCCAAGAAAGAGCTGTCAGTTACATGCGCGGAGCACAAAGCTCCACTCACCCTGCAAGAGGCGAATTCATATGAACAGGCGGTCAGGCATGTACGTATTCCAGCTCATGCCAGCTATATTGATAGGCTGGCGGCTCTGCGAGCCCGCATTGCTGCGAAGGAAGCGAGGGCGGTGGAGCTGGGAGGGGGTGGTGGAGTCGTGGGTCAGGCTTCGGCTGAGGCGACGTCGGGTAGACTTGCCCCCGAGCCAAGCGATGCGGCCGCAGTGGACGCAGCTGTTCAGTTTCGTTTTGAGGGAGGTGAGTCGCCCCACGCGGCGTGCCCCGCCCTCGACTCTGATCCCAGGTCCGAGCTCGATCGAGCGGACCCCTCGCGAGGAGGGGCAACGCTCCCCGGGTCGCAGGCAAGGTCCAAGAGGACTTTGATTCGGGATCCTCGGACTGAGGCGAGTCGAGAGGCGGCTGGCCAAGGCCCACTCCCCGTTTGGGAGGGGTGCGCTGTGGTCTCCTGCCCCTCGCTACCGCTCAGTCTGGCGGGCCGCGGTGCGGCCCCTTTGTTACTGGTTCGGTCCATCGTGACCAAAAAAATCCTCGCCCCCCTCCTCTAAGGCCAAGAAAGCGGTCCCAACGCCAACGCCAACGCGCCCCCACACCCACTCATCAGCCGGAACTCCAACAGGAAGATGTACGCCAGCGAGACGCCTTGGTGGCCGAAAGACACCGCTGCCCAGTGCCCCAGCCCAGCCAGGCCGCTAGCGCGCCAGCTCGTCGGCGAGCGCGGCCGCTGAGGCCTGCGCGGCCTCGCGCCCGAGGCTGGTCCGCAGCTGGCGCGCTGTAGCAGAGTGCAGCGCCGTGCTGAGCTCGGCGCCCCAGCGTGCGGCAAGGGCGCTGGCCGCGGCGTCGGCCTCCGGCCTGTCGCCGAGCAGCTGGGCGCGGCTGCGTGCCAGCCAGCGCAAGTGTTTTAGCGCCGCTGGCCCGTGGCGCCCAGCCGTCTCGAGGCTGAGCGGCAGCACGCGCCAGGGGGCCCGGCCGGCGGGGTAGCGACGTCTCTTGTCGCGCTCCCCCTCCCGCGCCACGGTGCCCTCCGTGCCCGCCGCCGCGGCCAGGGCCTCGGCTTCGCCGGGCACGCCGTAGCGGACTGTGACGTCCGCTAGCAGCCGCGGGCAGCCCGCCTGTTGCGCCTCCAGGTCGAGCAGCGCCTCTTCGCGGCGCGCCTGAAGCGCGGCCCCGCAGGCCTGGCAGGGCCCTGCTGGCGGGGCTTCGGCGTGGCCGCGCGCCGCGCAGCCGGGCGCCGTGCACGTCCAGATCCAGCGATCCCAGGCTGGGACATGAGCCTGGCGCGCTGTCTGGAAGCCGCGCTCTGCGTGAATGCGCTCCCAGACATCCTCGACGGCCCGGCTGCGCGCTTTCGTGCCTCCTCCGCAGGCGCCGCGGAAGGCGTGGTGCGCCTTGCTGCAGAGGGGTTGGCCGCAGGGCTGCCCGGCGCGCGCTCCCGTGCGCAGCCGGTTTTGGCAGCGGCTGTTCAGTGGGGCGAGGTCTTGGCCCAGCAGCGCCCGCGCTGTGTCGAAGTAGTCGTCGTTCCCCAAGCGCTGCCCGGGCCCGCGGTTCGCCAGCTGCCAGCCGGCCGCGTGGGCGCCGCCGCTGGAGCGGAGTCGTGCCCAGTCTTCGGGCCCAAGTTGCTCAGTAAGGCGTTGTGGTTGTTGTCGAGCCTACGCGTGAGCATCTTTTGGGTTTTTTCCCGAGGCGCCTGGGCAAGTTCCCGCCAGGGCGGCAGCGGCGCTGCGTCCTCGTCCTCTTCGTCAGTGGGGTCTGGCCCCGGCAGCGCGGCCAGCGCCTCCCGGCAGGCCGCGGCCAGCGGCAGGCCAGAGGTGTCCAGGTCCGCCAGGTCGGGCAGGCCGCTCCTCTCCCGCGTGCCCGCCAGGCTCTGCGCCCAGGACCCGCCCAGGCCGCGGGGGCCAGCTCCTCCTGGCTTCGGAAATCGCGCCCGCCGAGGCGCAGCGGCAGCCGGCAGTGGGCGCTCTGGCCCTCCGTCAAGGGCTCCAGGTGTGCCAGTTCCTGGTAGGCCTCCAGGGTGGCCGCGTCGTAAGCAGTAGCAGCGGCCCGCGCGGTCGCGGGCGGGTTAGTACGCAGCAGGTGCGTCAGTTTCCCCGTGCCGCAGTGCCGCAGGAGGAGCCCAGCGGCCTGCGCCGCCGGCAGGTGCGGTGAGGCCTGCCCTGGCAGCTCCTCCTCCTCCTCGTCTTTTTCCTCCTCCTCCTCCTCCTCTTCCTCCTCCTCCTCCTCCTCCTCCTCCTCCTCCTCCTCCTCCTCCTCCTCCTCCTCCTCCTCCTCCTCCTCCTCCTCCTCCTCCTCCTCCTCCCCCTCCTCCTCCTCCTCCTCCTCCCCCTTGTCATCCTCCTCCTCCCCCTCCTCCTCCTCCTATTCCTCCCGCTTCTCCTTTCGAGTGAGGTCGGGAGCCTCGCCGGAGGCTTCAAAGCCAGGCACGGCCCGGGCGCAGAGAGAGAGGCCCCCGCCTCTCCTTGGGCTGGCCCCCCCCCCTGTCTCGCTTGTCGTCTCCTCAGAGCTTGCTTTTTTTGTGACCCCGGCCCCCCAAGGGATGTCAAGGTTTTCTCATTCGTCGTTTCGACATTTGGCGGAAGCGGGGGGGGGGGGTCTGGCTCCGGACCTCTGGTTGATGCGACTGTTTGCAGCAGTGCGTCCTACGAGGGAGACCCCACCCGCTCGCAACAGGCGCCCTCAAACAGCCAAGATCCACTCCATCGGGCGGGGGGGGGGGGGTTCGAGGGCCCCCACGCCGATCGGCAAAACAAGGAATAAAAAACGATCACGATCTCGCCCACTTCCCCAGGACGGCCTTTCGTTCCGAATCGTTGCTTCACGGTCCCCGGGGCTGGGAAACGGCTTCTGGAGGCCGAGAACGACGAAAAGGTGGCCGTCGCGTTTCTGCTTGCAATACCTGGATCCGAGGGGTTCCCGCCCTTTCCCCGCCCGTCCCTATCCCTCCCCGGACTGGCCTCCCCCCCTTTTTGGGCAGCGAGCCAGCGGTGTTTGTCTGACAGGTTACCGCCCTGGACCCTGGACAGCCCCCTTCTCCGCCGCTCCTTCCTTTACCCCGACCTGGACCAGCCATCCCCCTCATGGGCAGCGAGCCTCCTCCTGCTTCCTCCCCTCCCCCTCGACGGGTCCGCCACGCCGTCCGCCGAGGGGCGGCGGGAAGGCGGACCAGGGCTAGAACATCGTAAGTTGTGAGATAGTCTCGGGCGATATGCCTGGCCCGCCTCGACGACACGCCTGGTGGTGCGATTGTGTGTAAAGTACATGGGAATTGGGGAGCGAGGAGGAGGAGGAGGAGGAGGAGGAGGAGGAAACGGAGGAGGAGGAGGAGGAGGAGGCCAAGGGAGGAGGGGGGAGGAGGGAGGAGGGATGGGGGTACAGGGAGTTGCCTTCTCTTGTTGTCCCACCCTGTCTCCGCGTCATCTTCTTGGAGGGAGTCGTGCCCTTGGAGATGCCGCTCTTGCTCACAACGCTTGAAGCATTGCCCTTTTTTTTCGGGGCTCCCCAGCCGGCTTCGGGGAGTTCAGGGCTCCCTAAGCCAGCACGCTGCTGACCAGGACTTTGAGAAATTTTGGACGCTTCGCGTATCCCCTGGCCCTTCAGCTCGGCGACTGCGAGTCCGCGTCCGCCCGCGACCAAAAAATGTATCCCCTGGCCCTGCTCTCACTACAAGTTCCAGTCGTTCGACAAGGGACGTTCGTCTCCTATTTGGTTTGAGACTGAGCCGCGGCTTGTTTCCTCCCATGATGTCCTGTCTTCTGGTTTCCGTCTTTCTCGCTCCTTCTTCGTGCGTTCCTCGTTCTTTCGCTTCTTTCTCTTTCTTCCGGTTCGTCTCGCTCTCTTTCGTGTGTCTCTTGTTCGTTTCTCTTTCGTTGCTTAGTTCTCGCCACCGTTGTGGCCCTTTTCCGCGTGCTGTCTGTATCTGGCCTACGCTTTCACGACTTGTTTGACGGGCGCGCGGCTGCCCACGTCGCTCGCGAGCGAAAAAGTCCCTGGCCCACCCCCTTGCTTGGTCCTGTCTCTTTTCGCCTTCCTCTTTCCGTGCGCTAATTTAGGCCGTCGCCTCTGCGCTTCGCCCCTCGACGCCGCCCGATCTTTCGCTGCGGTCGCGATCAAAAGTATCCCCTGGCTCAGGATGCCCCCAGCTTCCCGCTCCATTTTGGAGCCCCTGGCCCCCGCTGGGCCTCGTGAGGGGTGCTCCAGAAGCCGCAGGGGCCTTCTAGGAAGTCCTGGGGGCACTGGGCCAGGGGCACTTCCGGCAGCGCCCGACCTGGCGAGAGCGAAACGCGGAGAGCACGTCTGGGCCCACGGCTGCAGCCTCCTCGGGCGCGCCGCCGTCCTGGCTGCTCGAGTTTCGGTCCCCGCCTGGGAATGCTCCTAAGAAGACGTGGCCCCGCCAGGAGCCGCCCCGCGCCGGGCCTTCAGACTGCGGTGCGTCTGGCGCGTTCCAGAGAGGCCCCGCCAGAACCCAGGCCGGCCACGAAAACTGTTGTTCGGTCTTCCCCAGGAAACGTGATGTATTCTGTTCGGCCCCAAAAGATTGCTGTTCGGTCCCAGCGTCCCTCGTGGCCGGCGCCTCGCCCGCGCCGCCGCCCCCTCCAGCCGCCCCCGAG